AATATCTAAAACTGGGTAACATTCACCCTGTGGGAGCTGGTTTCTTCAGTGAAGAAACACTAAACACTAAATAGTAGGGATATGAGCCCTTCTATAAATGTGTCAAGCAAATAAAAAATGTTAGCAATAGAAAGTACACTTAGGTATTTCATTTTCCCATATCCAAGATAGCAACAGAAGGAAACAGGACTGTGGCATCTCTAGAATTCTCAGCAGTTCTTGAGATTCTGTTACCATGACTCTAGCAAAACTCACTAACAGGTATATTTTATCAGAAAATTTCTAGAGAGCCCTCAGCTTTCTTATCTCAGTTACCTTCTTCTAACCTTCCTCTTCAACCTGACAAAGGACAGATAAATGCCTACTCACAATGTCAGTGTCTACAGACACTGTATATGCATGCCTGAGAAGAAGCCTGTCCTGAAATGAAAGTCAGCTATCTGATATATAAACTGATGTCTGAATCTCTAGAGCTTGACTTTCTTCTATTAAAAACTGTTTGGTCCCATAAGCCTTGTGGATTCATTTCTTATCCTATCTTTCAGTTATCATGTCATTTATCATGTCTTTCAAAATGTGCTCCAAATACAAATCTTAAAACCTTTCCTATAACAGGGATAAAGTGTACTAATTGCTTCAGGGAATGTAAAAACATACTAAGTAGACTCCTTGCCTTTAAAAAAGTTATGTCTCCCTTGCTAGAATGTGAACTCTAAGAAGGCATGGACTTTCTCAGTCTTGTTCATCACTACATCTCTAACAACCCAAAACAGTACTTGGCAGACAGAAGGTGATTGAAATATTTACCAAGAAATGAATGAACCAATGAACATGAAAATAGGCAACACACTTTGAATAATGAGAGAATATGCCATGTGTTCTGGGGGACTACTCTAGGGCCAACAGAAGTTAAAAGAACGAAAACATTAGGGCAAGCTGCCTCCTAAGAAGGCAGGAGGAAATGGTAATTAAGCCGCCTTAGAAGAAAGGATTTAGATGGATAAGGAAGAGGGAAACAAGACTGGCAAAGACCAGAGATGGGGAGGACCAAATGTGTTGCAGTATAGTGAAGAGGCTTGGGTGACCCAAGGAGAGGGTGTATGTGGGGGAGCAGTAGAAGCTACACTGAATGAAGAGAGTGAGGGCAGACTGCAGAAGGCCTGAATAAGTCAGGAATTTTATCCCCCTTGGTTGGGATGTACATTCTTAAATCTTTTTTTTTTTTTTTTTGCGGTACGCGGGCCTCTCTCTGCTGTGGCCTCGCCCGTTGCGGAGCACAGGCTCCAGACGCGCAGGCTCAGCGGCCATGGCTCACGGGCCCAGCCGCTCCGCGGCATGTGGGATCTTCCCAGACCGGGGCACGAACCCACGTCCCCTGCATCGGCAGGCGGACTCTCAACCACTGCGCCACCAGTGAAGCCCTTAAATCATTTTTCACATCCCCAATTTAATGTCTAAAGGAAAATGAGCCTCCAAGAAGACATAAATCTTAAAAAGCGGTAGGGCAATGGAGCCAATAGCCAATCCTGGGGGCCCACATAAAAGTAAAATTTGGATTATAAAAGAGTCTTAAAAGTTATTATGAGTTCCACAGTTTATTAAAATTAATGGTTTATCAAAGAATAATAAAAAAAGTCACAGGTCTAAATTCACTAGAATTTTCACACAAAGATACTCTTTTCTTAAGTAGAAACTTACTTTTAATATCATAGCAGGGTATATTTAATCGATTTTTAAAAATCTTGTGACTGTTAACTACTATTAACCAGAGAATGACGCCATTCACTAATTCTGGAATACCTAGAAATATGCATACATCAAAAGCTCTGAATGGTTCTTTATTAGACAGTCACAGTTTTGAAGACAGCTTCAGATAAACCTAACAATTGAGAAGTTGTAAATATCCTTGTTCTTTCACCAAACTCTAGCTATATTTAGTAGCATGATTTTCTTTGTTCAAGAGTTATTTGCTATAACTTTGTATTTATGTTCTCGAAGGCAGAATACCTTGGGTATATTAGTTAAGTTGATAGGTGGCTGCATGGATGGACCAATGAATGAACCATCAAATGACTGTATTTAGATCTGTGAGAGGTAACGGCTATATCCTTCACATATGTGCATCCTAGATCTTTCTTAGCCAGGGCTAAAGCTTCCAGGCTTTTGCAAACACATCTTTCATATTTAGTAACAATCACACTTAGATTAAAATGGAACAGAGGGAATAAGCGAGCTTGGAAGGGAAGAGCATTATTCCAGGCAAGGCTGCTGGTGGTTATGAGAGCAGGAA